TTTAACTCATTATTGAAGGCCGTACAGTGACCTATATAGTTGTTAATTTCTGTGTCATTTGGTCTCTGGTGAAGAGTTGTCTCATTTGCAATCATACCAGATCTTCTTATAATTCAATTTGTATTTCTTAAAACATTATAGGTTTGTCTTTATATTTGTATTTGTCTGTATGAAAAAGAAATGCCAACATTTTATAATTTTAATAATGTATTACGTACTTTCAAGTTTAATCAAGTAAACAGGCCATCTAACTCTAGAATTACATAATGCAATGTAGAATGTTTCCTAACCGTTTCCTCACTGGCTCTTAATTTTTTGTTTTTTTATTTCTCATATATACCTTTATATAACACAAGGTATCCAAATCGCAGTTTTGAGAATGACCCACGGTCGCGATCTTTCGTTACATTTCGATTCCGCGGTTGTCTAGCCCACTGAAACTTGTTATGCCATACATCTACATTGAATTATATACAAAATGATGTACGACAGGCTTAGTCGGTTGTCGGATTCCTCCTTAGCAGGTCTTCAAAGTAGGTCCCATTGAAACTTGTTATTTCGTACATTTTCATTGAATTACCTACAACATGATGTATGACAGGCTTAGTCAGTTGTCAGAATCCTTCTTAGTAGGCCTTCCAAGTAGGTCATTCGTAAATCATTTCATATTCAGACGACAGCCAAACGGTTATGTTAAATTCGCAGTAAATATTCGACCCGGTTTCCGATAAGTCAATCTTATGCTAAAAATAAAAGTTTTGAACTTTCAAAATTTCCCACTTTGTAAATTCTAAGGAGTTATCTTAATTGTATATGTTACGTCCAGAGATAGTCTGAATGCCATTGATATAATAGGACAACTTGAGTCTAAAAAAAAACTCCTAACACATGAGGAGTACCTCAAATAACACTTATTAGATTTTTATTATCACAGTATCTTTTACAAATTTAATATATATAGATATAAGAAGATAATGGATGATAAGTTCTATTCATATAAAACTAACATGTTTTATGATTATTTTTTTTTATTATTATTCATCCACTTTGAATTTAACTCTGCCATTTGGCAATGAGAAAACAGAAATAAGCGTGTCATACATCATTTTGTTGATAATTCAATGTAAATTTACGACATAACACGTTTCAGGGGGATATCGACAATCGCAGAATCGAAATATAAAGAAAGTTCGCAACTAAGTGTCACTTCTAAAAAATGAGAGTTGGGTACCTTGTGTTATATTCAGGTATATATGAATTCATATTTTTAGAGACAAGTCCCTGTGCATTCCCTACACGCATGGTAAGTGTATACTGAAAAAAGGTAATCTTATTAAAATTCGTATACAAAGATATATGCAAACCATTTGCGTTTTCTGTTTTCGTACTTAATAAATACGTTGTCTATGATCTTTTAACTTCATATATATATATATATATAAACAACTCTAAATTGAAAACAACGTTCAAACCTATGATTGCGTTGGATAAAAACCGCAATTTTTATACGTGTGCATGCAAAACAAATTTCTTGGTAGAGGGGTCTAAATACAGCACAAACAACATTTTCCAAAAGACCAAAAATTGAAAAAGTGTATTTTAACAAAACGCATTTGACTAACAGGTCGAACAACTGATGTTCTTAAACCCTGCTGACTGCCATTGGTGATTGCCAAATAAATTGATCACTAGATGTAACATGGATCTTAATTATTAATTTAATACCAAACAGAAAACAATAAACTTGCGGAAAAGATGGTATATCGCAAACATGAGGTGCAAAAATTTGTACACCATATCCGGATTTCGACAATTAATGTCTCTTCAGTGATGTTAGGAATCGAAACGGTATTTGGAAGGCCATTTAATTCACCTCAATTTAGGATAGACTCTTGAATTTTAAAGAGTCGAAATAGGATGAACGGATCATATAAACCCGAAGGAAAATATAATACAAGCCCAAACGAAAAAATATATACAAGTCTAAATTGAAAACAATGTTCAAACCTATGATTACGTTGTTATATATGTAGAACTGGGAACCGTGATGGTACTCAGAACCGCGATGGTCACGCTGAAATGCGATGGGTTGACGCTGAAGTGCGTTTTTAATCACGCTGAAGTGCGATGGTGGCATTGTGATGCTATCTTGTTTGTAACTACGCCGAAGTGCGATGGTGGTTAGCTGAAGTGCGATGGATTACATAAACTATATTTTCGATGTCGATGCAAAAGTCAATTTGTTTGTTAAAAGCAGCTTTTCATGTTTCTTAAGTAAGTCATCAAGAATATTAACCCGTTTACATAAACACAGTCATGATAAATTTTTCCAGTCCTAATTGTAACGTTGAAGTTTACTTTGGACAAAAATAAGCCAACGTTCATACAATTATTCAAGACGCTACATACAAAGGTTATTTTCTATAAAAACCAGTGCTAATTTCAATGACTGAAAATGTGATAGCTGTTAAAAATGCAATATGATAAGGACCTTATAAACTTATCACCGTCAGTTGTTTTTACTGCAACTGGAGAAAATATGGAATGTTTTTGCATACTAGTATTCGACATTAATACAACTTGTAAACAGATTTTTAATACTACAGGAAAAGGGAAATAATTAGTACACAGGGGAAATTTAGATAATTTATATCCTTTTTCGAAATCTACAGAAGTTTCGTTTTTTTACGTACGATGGAGCTTGGAATTACATATGGGTCCGCAGAGAGACTTTCCGTATAATGATATTACGGTAAACGTGGAACTCATGAGAGCTGAGAGTTGAGATTACGTTAAGATAAACTGTTAGAGCAGAATAATGTCCCCATGCAGCAAACGATCTCTCATTTAGTATGAAACTGTAACTAATGACATTTATAGACCATCGCACTTCAGCGAACAGACCATCCAACTTCTGCGAAGACCATCGCACTTCAGCGTGACCATCGCACTTCAGCGTCCCCATCGCACCTCCGAATCCTACATATATATACATGAAATATATTACATAGATTAGTACGAATGTATACCAATAATACATGTTATAAGTTATTGGATCTAAACTTTCAGTTTATGAATTTCGTCCTATTCCTGATTGTACTTTTGACTGAAATTCACAGCGTGGTTTGAACAGCAGTAAACAACTGTTGCCTATGATTTTCCCCCAACCGTAAAAAAATATTTCTTTAAATATTGTTGAAATTTACACACTTAATTCATGTCTTTTTGGTTGGTAGCGTACGTGGTTGCCATTAGCCATCTTATGTATATTGAACCTCTGAGCAAATATTGTTCTTTGTCTTTCTCTAAAAAATAGAAATGCATTATACGTCATATGAAGCCTGTAATTTTGGCAATATGTCTTCACTGGTACCGCTGTTTCCAAGAAGCATAATTTTTACGAAAAAATGCAGTTATATTAAAAAAAAAAGAGTGGACATAGAATTGTTTTAGTTAGAAACACTGGTCATCATTTTGTACTGGTTGTCAAAATTAACCTAATAAATAAAAAAAAAATCAAAATTTCATATATCAAATACTTCTTGGAGAAGACTATAAAAAGGAGCCGTGAGGTACAAAGAGGAAATCTAAAATACATTAACTCGAAGAGGACTAACAATGTCATGGCAAACATCGAAAAACGACGAAATGACAAACAAGTCCACAATACACTACATAGAAAAAAATAACTAAATATATGGTGGAAGTGCTGTGTGTGATGTACAATGCGATAAATAATTATTATAATAAATGTTAGAGCTTTTTGTACGAGCAAATGCATTGCTTAATTTTATTTATAAAGATAAATATACCAGTGAATACAAAGGCATTATTTTATTTATTTGTACTTGCTTATTAACGCTGTTATGTTGTAAAGCATACGATTTCCCGCAAATGTGTCACAGAATATATTTGATTACCAAAACGTATTACGAATGTAATACAGAATTATTCCTGTTGTACAGGTAATTATTGCCTCGTATAAGATGAAAGAACAAGTCAGGAATGATGTATGTTCGAATTCGCAAACTTCAATAACTGTTTTCAAAAGTTTATTTATTTAAAATTCATATAGAGAGATGGTGTTTAAAGTCTTCATGTAGACCTACTTGATGACAACTGTTCATTTCAATAACAATTCTTGAATGAATTTAGCTAAATATATGTAATTGATATGCACTGCGTGTCAAAAAATATCTATTAATATTTTAAATAATAAAGCAGTATCTTACAATTTTTAACACGACAGCTTAATAAATAGAGATAGATCTGATTGATCTTAGCAGGGATCATGTTTTACTTTATTGACGTCTTTAATCATGTTCTTTCTAACTAGGAAGTTTTCAATAACACTAACGTAGTTTTAACAGTTTGAATGGAAGTGTAAACACCGATGGGATATCTTGGTTATTTAGATACATATTCTTTTTTACTTCCGCAATTTTCACCTGCATCACTTGCACAAAAGTTACGTAATATGTATTACATGTGCATCGCGTTAATGTATCTGCTCGTGCATCAAAATGTATTTGACCATCTTAAAATTTGGCATGACTAGTATTTAAAGATACGGATGAGGGGGTTTTCAAATGATAAATTTGAACTTGCATTAATAGATACATTTTCCTCTTCCATTCGGTAATTGCTAAATTTTTAGTAATGTTACAATGCTTCAATACTGGCAACATTCGTTCTGCGCTTACATGATTACTTTTATTTGTCGACTGCTATCACAACGTCATTTATTCCAGTATTCTATCACCGTAATTCATTCTAGTATTTATCCATCATAATTTGACCAAAAAATAAATAATATATACTTAAGACATACACGGATTGTTGGTTCTGTGAGACACCAGTAAACATTGATTTTGTGAATACTGTCAAATACTTTCATTGCATTACAATTTTTATCTTTACAGATAAGGCCATACATATGATATGTGTATGCCTGACTGCCCCAAGAGAACAATGAACCAACTTAAGACATTCAAATCTTGTATATAGTATGTCTTGTACTTCCTGGTCCACAGTGGATATAATGTGATGTTGTTGTTAATGCAATAAAGGTAAGTTTATTTTTCTTTATTTCATGTAATACTTTTAAAAAACAGACCGTGGAACCCATACATACTGTTCAAAGCAAATTATAGATGGTTGGAGAAAAAACTTGTACAAAAGGATTCGTTTTAAGGTGGCTAGGGCGTCTTAATTAAAATTGATAGATTTTTTTGATAACTTGTCAAAGTGAAGTTTTTATCATACTTTTTTCAAAAATATATTAAAAAGTATGGGTCACCGGACTTTTTTTCACGCTACAGGTTGTGCAATATTGTCAGATTTTGTATAGATTATGCATGGAAAATCAAATTTTGTGTGATAAAAAAAAAACGTACTATCAGAACTTTAGGATAAAATGTGAGAAGATTGCTCTTATAACATGCTTTCAGATAAGAAAAAGAATAAATGGGGTAACCGAACTTGTTTTCTTGCTACATATCAAAAAAGGTAAATTCATAACACTTTCTATTATAAAAATTACTTTATCTGAGTTATCTCCCCTTATTTGGCAAAGTTGAAAAAAATCTAATCAAACACAAACAAGGTGTTTTTGAGAAATTACAACTGTAACTATGATAAAACACACAATTTTCTATATTTATATCAAACGTATTTTACATAAATTACATACAACTCTCAAAATTTGCACATTTCATCAAATATCTAGACCAAAGTTATCTGCTTCTTCAAAATCCAAGATGGAGGGAAACACCCGAGCCACCTTAAATCATCATTATATTGGGAATAATTAAGATTATTGAGTATTTCTGTGTTGATGTCTACGTAAGATGCATATGTACTTATTACATAGTCGATTAATTCTGTGGCTATTTGTTATCAATATCTTTTTATCTTGTTAAATTTTTGCATATTCTACAACTGTGTCGAGTGAAATACACCGTTGTTTCATTTATCAAATTTTCAAACTCAAACAAAAAATCATTTTACTATACTATCTATTTAAAGTGTACCATGACCATTTGAAAAAAAAAGGTCAATCTTAGCAGATAATGACAGTTCCATGAATAACTATATGCACTTTAGGTTTCTACAGTATGTAGATCATTAATCATAAGACATGTAAATAAACATGATGTCCCAAAGCGTAATTGTTTATAGAACATGACATATCTTTTTTAATTATTATTCTCCAAAATAAGAAGAAGAAAAAAGTCTTTTTAGCAAAACAAAACAAGAATGTGTCCATAGTACACGGATGCCCCACTCGCACTATTATTCTCTATGTTCAGTGGACCGTGAAATTGGGGTAAAAACTCTAATTTGGCGTTGAAATTAAAAAGATCATATCATAGGGAATATGTGTACTAAGTTTCAAGTTGATTGGACTTCAACTTCATCAAAAACTACCTTGACCAAAAAACTTTAACCTACCTTGACCAAAAACTTTTATCTGAAGCAGGACAGACGGACGAACGGACGGACGGACGGACGAACGAACGAACAGACGCACAGACCGAAAAACATAATGCCCCTCTTCTATCGTAGGTGGGGCATGAAAATGTTATCGTAAATAGTCATGTCCATATTTTATTTCAGATACTTTTGATATAAATAAGAAGATGTGGTGTGAGTGCCAATGAGACAACTCTCCATCCAAGTCACAATGGTTTAAAAATTAACAATTATAGGTCAAAGTACGGCCTTTAACACAGAGCCTTGTGCACCGAAAACAAGCTATAAAGGACCCCAGAATGACTAGTGTAAAATAATTCAAACAGGAAAACCAACGGTCTAATCTATATAAAAAAACGAGAAACAAGAAAAACCTATGAATCACACCAACAAACGACAACCACTGAACAACAGGCTCCTGACTTAGGACAGGTGAATAAAAATGCAGCGGGATTAAACGTTTAAACAGGCGCCAACCTTTACCCTAACCTGAGACAGTAGTGTAACATTACAACATTACAACATAAAAAGACACTCTATAAAATATCAATTGAAATTGCTTAACTCGATCAAAATGACATTCAAACAAAAACAAGTAAAAATACACTGAACGAATAATTTTGATTTAATACAAATACAAATACAATATCAAAACTTTATTTTGGTAAAGGGGCCTTGAGTGCCGAGTGATCTAAGTATTTCATCTACATCAACAGCGATCTCTACTCTAGTTTATATATAGTTTGTCAACTTGACTGCTAGACTGAGTGTTTTATTTTTACGAAGATCGGTGGATCTCTCCGGCCAGTACTCTGGCTTCTTCCACCATTATACTAGACAGGCAGCCATGATATAGCCGAGTGGGCTAAAAATGGCTTTATACTGGATTTCAAGTCAGTGGTTACAAAGCCCCCAAGGGTGACTGGGGAATAGAAATAAGGTCATCAAAGGTCTTCTTCCGACCGGCAGTAAAACCCTTGTTAAAGTGGGGCGTCCGTTTGGCTGTGCGTGATGTATCAAGTACGCAGTCACGTCCGGTCAGAATGGGAACGTTAAATCCGATGCCTCGTATGAAGAGAATGCCACTCTCTTTGCACGTTAAGAACCCTTGTAACAACTCTTTGAGAGGTCCGTAGGTGGCCTGTTGCAAAGCAAAATTTCTGTCCCTATCCAATATATCCTCAGTTTCCAGTGGCAGTCGAAAGTTCCCGACCTTCATCCCGGACGGCCCCTATTACAAGACCTACCCTGTTGTATTTATTGTTAATTTGTTCTCGTCCTGAACATGCATGAAATATTTGCCACTGGACGTTAAGCAACCAACAATCAATCAATACAAAGCTATTTGTCGAAATCAATATTACTACGAATTAACAATAATCAACTATGCCGCTCTTTGATGTTAAACAACAATGTCATAAACAATATTCCATTGTCATGTCAGAACTTAAAACTTTATTCGAAATAATGCTGATTGGACACTAATGTTTGTCACGCCTTCACAAATTGACGTTTTGTCTATGGTCGTGAGTAGTTTACATGTAAACGCGATCTGTTAAGTTTGTTCTTGGAATAAAACCACTAATTCATAGCCTCATTGCTTTCTATGCTAAATTCTGCAATTTCAAGGATCAATAGCTTCTTTGTCTTAAGTTCAAATTAAGTGGCAGTCATTTCATGTCAAAACTATACCTTATCCTGACATGTGATGAAAAACACAACATATCTATAATTGCACATAAGAGCGCACTGGTTCCCGGAAATTTGGTAGTACAAAAACAGATACTTCTGATCTGAACAACAGGCCAAATGTTCCCTCCTATTATAATTTCATAATTTATTTTACAGTTCTACAGTCTACGGCTCTGCAGTAATCACAAGTCCTTAAGCTTTCAGTTGATACCAAGATTACCAAAATATTTTACTTATTGAAAACGTTACAGCTATGCGTAGGAACTTTTTTGTTTAAAATATGTACTACTTTCTTGTATGTTCTTTCTGACCCGGCCCGAATTAGTGGTTTTATACCTCTTGTGTTGTTATTGTAAGAAGCCAACGGGAATGTATCTAAACATTTGACTAAAAAGGAAATTGTTATTATTATTTTATTTTTGTTCGCAAAGTGAATTATATGGTGAAAGAGCCGGCTTAGCCTTTTAAACACATACAGTCAATCCCTTTGTTTGCAAGCGTATGTTGATTGTATGGCTATACACTGTATACATGCACCTATTACAAACGTGTTGAAAAAATATTTAATGATGTTATGACTCTTTGGTATTAAAACTTATGGAGTTTTCGATATCTTCTAATTGTAAATTTGTTACTGAAAACAAAACATAGAGTTATGCTTTTAGTTTACTTAAGGTTTTCCAGTCACAGTTCGAGTGAGAGCTCGAGTTTCTATTCAAGTTTGAGTCCCATTTCGAGTAAGAATTCAAGTTAATTTTCGAGTAAGAATTCGAGTTATTAATTTGAGTTGGTAATTCCAAATATTTCAGTCACAGATAACGGATTTTAACACAAAGAGGGTAAAGAATCTAGACGAAAATACTCAAGGGGGTTCCGAATTAAAAAAAAATACAGATAATAAAAAAATAAAGAAACACAAATTTTCGAAATATAAGTGGAATGACTCCCCCCCTCCCTGGATCCACCCGCTATTTTTGCTTTATCAATTACATAAAAGAGTAATATTCATTCTTCATTTAAAATATATATTTCTAGTATAAATCGAACTCTTACCCGACCTCGGTGGTTAGTCGCATTTTAGTTACGAATTAACGAACAACATTCATTTGTATTTTCTAATTGATAAGTTAAAAGAATATATTTAATGTTTAGCAGAAGTGAATTAAGGATTTTTGATTCCAATTCTTTAAATACATTATATTCAAGGAATGTGTGGTCAACTGTAAGGCTGCCAGTTTATTTAATTGCTTCCGATTAAAACAGAATGTCTGAAATGTGTTAAGTTATATTCATTATATTGATAATTTAGAAATTTATATGATTACAAAACTCCTTTCAGATGATCTCAAAGCTGCAACTACGTGTATTTTTAATTATAGTAGCGACACTTTTTAAGCCAGTAACAGCACAGAGTAAGTATATACAAAATATTATCTTTTACAATTGTAACATGTATCTGTTATGAATTGAAAATATAATTCTGAACTTGATTGATCAAAATGTACGTGTGTGGTTAAAGGATACAAGGCAGTTGCAAAGACATATGACAGGTGAGGAATCACATTGAAGGCTATTACCGTTATACTATAAGATAAATACTATACAATTATTGACTGGTTACAATCTATAAGGGGAATAGCAAGTCTGCTGTTCATAAGATGCCAAGTTTTGTTCAACAGAAAGCCGAGGGCAATAGTTGGTTTCGGATCATTTATTTAAGTGTAATATAATGCCGAACAACTTTTTTCAAACATTAATAAAATTTCAGGAAACAATAACAGACTCCTTGTTATTATTAAGAGAAACATATACAATACAGATAAACATTTTGGTTTCTTCCCTTAGATAAAGGGTCTCCTTGTTCAATCCTTCATGAAATTGTAAACAAAACTTGGATTGAAGCGCTTTCGTAATCAAGCGTTAGCATCTGGAGCAATGTTTCTTAAAATATTTATTTTGTATTTTAATACAGATATATATGGTGTTCTACGATGATCATAGTCCTTCACCTTTCATTTTATATCTTAATTACTAAACTATATTCTACATAATTTGATATTTACACCTATGCGTAGGAACTATTTTGTTTTAAATATGTACTACGTTCCAGTATGTTCTTTTTGACCAGGCCCAAATTAGTGGTGTCACATCTTACAAAGCCTACCCGAATTATTTCAGTTTGCAAATAATTCCGATTAAACCAGTGCAAGGGGCCGTCTAAAACTTTCTTGCTCCATGTTAAAGGCATCACCGTGACTTTGAGATGAAGAACAACAATTAAAGCGCTGTTCCTTTGCTTTGTGTGTGTGTTTTTTTTTGCTGTGCATTTACGGATTTTGATGAATACACCATATCCTTTATTTTTTAATATATATACATTTACTTTCTCTTTTTGATAGTTGTTACTTAGATAAAGTCTGGCGTTGCGTATTGAAGACGTTAATATCCATGTCAAATTTTCATAGAATTTTCAAAACTTTACCAGAAGCTTCATCATGATACAAAATTATACTGAAGATTTGTTTCTTACATTACACTTAACTGTATTGACTGGGATGTTTTTTTAGGAGTTTAAATTTTGATACATTCTAGGTTTTTATAAACTGTATTAGAATTTTAGTAAACTTTTACAGAATCTTCTCATAATCAAGAGATAAATTTAAGGGTAAATATTTTCCATTTCTATGTATTTAAGCATCAAATGTAATCGATATTTTTAAAGTCAACGTAAGTTCAATTCTGTTGTTAAAGATTCTTAAGCTGGAACAACTTTGTTGAACCTTCTGATAGCAAGATTAAATAGTTTTGATATATTTACAGGTAAAAGTGTTTTGACAACCAACTTTGCAAAAAAGTAGGGTTCCTAAAACTCCTTTAATATATCTAAGACTATTATTTTTGTCGATGTGTGTCTTTCTTTAATCCGCTTTGGCTGTATTCTCCATCATTTTCTTAATTTGCAAATATTGACTCATTTTGTTGTATAGATATATTATTGCAGATTCTGTTCATTTTTAATATTTTAAATTCATGGTATACATTAGGAAATAAGTTGACATTTTAGTTTGATTTCAACGCGAAATGAATTTGGGTTTAACACTTTAGCTTCAATATTTATAAGTTCACTATTTAATCTTAAGCAATAATTCTAATTCATCTTTACATGTATATTCTCATAATTATAATAAAATGTTGGCTTCAACAAATATAAATACAAAACGGTGTAAGGTATACGACAAGGAAATAGCAACCCAACGACAAAAATTACCCAAACGACACCCAACCAGGAACAAACAAAGGCCTTATTATTTCATTTTTTTTTAATTTTACGTGTTCTTAAAAAGATCAATCAGTAGTTTGTGAAATACCGATTGTTAATTATGATTCGGATTGCATTCTTAGAAATCAACTTTGCAAATAAAATGCAACATAGTACGTAAGTCTTTTCTTACTTAACTCCGGTTGTTATGTTTGAAAGTGAGGAAAAAACAGACACACATAACGAATACGAGGTGCTGAAAGGTGTTTTGAAATATGATGTTTTCCTTTGGTTGTAGATATACCATAATTTCTTACAATTATATAGAAAAATGTGGAATATTTGGAAGTTTGTGCCGTTTAATAAAGTCGCCAGTGTCTTGATTTTTTAAACAAATCTTAAGTATTCCCCAATCAACATCTGAATTCATTTGTACAAAGTCTTACAATATTATAGTCTTTAAATGTAATGGCATGAATGATCCGCTTCGATGACTGTATACAATTTATGTGAACCAAACTATTTGATAAAAAAGTACAGTAAAGCCTCAAATATCAGCAGAGGAACTATAATTAAGAACTGAAATGACAATGTGTCATGAGATAAAAACCGTATATATTACGTTAATAATTTAACACACTGGAAGTATCCATTAAAATAAATTGAGAGTGACTAGTTAAGTATAAATGTAACAAAGTTATGCAACTTTATACAACAAGTACTAAAATAAAAATTAAAAAGAAAGTACCCTGGTAATATTTCACCTCTTTTTACAGTCAATCTTGCTTTACATGGAACAGTAGCACAAGCAACAACATATACAGACGCCGGTTTTTCATACAATGCAAACTTGGCAATAGAAGGGCCTGCGAATAATAATTGGGAAGATGGATGTTCATCTACAGGTTATCAACCGATGACATGGTGGGGTCTATTTCTTCCCAGACTAGCCTACGTTACAAATGTTAGGAGTTATTACCGGAAAGATGGTAAGTCCTGAATTAACAAGCTGTTAGTTTTCCCAAACCATTATATCCACCAAAATTTTATATTTTTTTTCATCAAACACCTAGACAATAAATTAATTCATTAATGTTGGAAACCAAGCGTCTGTTGTCATCTGTCGTCGTAGTTGCTTATCGTCATGCAACGTCATTGTAGTCGTCTGTTAATTTTTACAAGCATCTTCTCTTCTGAAACTACTGTGCCAATTGAAGCAAAACTTGGTCACAATCTTACTTGGGGTATCTAGATTACAACCTGTGTCCGATGATTCTGCCTGCCAATCAAAATGGCCATCAAGACATAAGGGTAAGATGCAAAAGAGAAGCGAAAGATACCAAAGGGATATTCAAACTCATTAGTCGAAAATAAACTGAAAACGCCATGGCTAAAAAAGAAAAAGACCAACAGACAAACATTAGAAAAACAAAACACAACATAGAAAAATGAAATTTTGAGCAACACGAACCCCACCAAAAACTGGGGGTGATCTCAGGTGCTCCGGAAGGGTAAGCAAATCCTGTTCCACATGTGGCACCCATCGTGTTGCTCATGTTAGTACAAACCAGGTAATAAGTCTCATTCGGTAGGTTAAATTCGGGAAAAAGGGGACGGGATTGTAGTCACGACATTTGGAAATATCCGTTTTCATCAGTGAAACAGATATTTCATAACGGTCAACCAACTTTTGATGGCGTCCGTAAAATTTACGAAAGAATGATTTCAGTTTCACCACTTTGAACTCTTGGTTTGATAGCTTTCCTGTAAGCAGCAACCCTCTATCAAGAAAATCATGAAAAGAAATACAATCTCTGGAATATCGTATCAACAGGGAGATATATACTCCTTATGCAGGCGCTGCTGGAATGTTGCTACATAGAAATGAACAGTTCACAATTGGGAAGATGAAATCATCTTTTTTGTCGTTAAGTTTCGTTTTCAACCGACCCTCATGGTCAATTTCTAGATGTAAGTCAATATATGAGGCAGACTTAACTGTATCTGTTGTATCCTTTATCTCAAATTCGATGGGATAGATGCGCTCAACATAATCACCAAATTTTGAATTATTTAGTGAAAGAACATCATCTTTATAGCGGAACGTAAAGTTAAAGGATACTGCTAATTTCTTTTATTTCTTCCTAAGAAGTTCCTATATGAAGTCAGCCTCATATGAATAAAGGAACAAGTCCACAAGAAGAGGGGTACAGTTTGTTCCCATGGGAATGCCGATTGTTAGTTGAAAAACACTCCCTCCAAACGAATCAAATATGTTGTCAATCAAGAAATCAAGTATCATTATAATGTCAGTTTCAGAGAATGTTTTTTCGAATCAGATTGATTTTTTACAAAGTAGGATTTATCCCTCCCGAAGACAAGATACTTGTATCTACGTTGGTCAATCTTTTTTATGAAACGAAGCAAGACTAACTCTTTCAATTTGTCTTTTAGTTTGGAATGAAGAATACTTGTGTAAAGTGTAGAAAAGTCAAATATTTTAATACTATAATCAAAAAATGAAAGAGTCTTAAATTGTATGTACTCTTAAAGATTTTTGGAATTTTTTAGTATCCACTTCTGAGTCACTTCACCTCTAGAATAGGTAGTTTTACAATAACTTTGAAACCCGGCTTTGATTGATGATCAATTTAATGTTAATAATTTAAGAATGAGATTTCGTTGAGCACTTGTAAGACCCAGCAGTATACCGTTGTTTGTAAGGACACTTATGTAGTTTAGGTATCCAAACAGTGATGGAAGATCCAGTTCTTCATCTTTGGTTGAAATTCCAAAGGAACATAGAACAGACCTGTGATTATCCAGGAGTTCCTCTTTGGTAAGTGTCGTGGGGGTATATGTTTAGTTTCCAAGTGAATTGTCACTACCTAATTAATTTATCAAGCAGTTAATGTAATGTGATTTACACACAAAACCGATGTTGTTTGGGGCTTTATCTGCGGGGACAACAACTTATTTGTATTAGAGGTAGGACAAGTGTTTTGCAACATTTGGGTCTCTAAAGATTGATGTAGCATGGGCATTCATAGACTCATTCAGTTTCTTAATTCTGATTTGTATCAACGACCTCACAGCCTTAATTCATTCAGAAAAAGTATCTACGTCTTCTTTCACGCGTTTAACCCATTGCCTGACATAATCCTCGACTGAATCCATCAGTTTTTGAAGTTGTGTTACCAATTAATGGATTTAGGCTCATGCTATTTCTAGCCTTTGGATAACACATCGCGCAGAGAAGTGTTATTGACAATGTTTAGGTCACCAGTAATAACGTTGCAAGCTGGATTATATATGAATGAGGAAATAGCACAGATGCAATCAGGGGGTTTAGACTTGAAGTCGTCAATATTGAGATCCTGCAACACGTGTTTGTAATTGAAATTTTAGTTGCAATTGGTTTGGTATAGGTATAAGAAATGATAGGTACAGACTGATCTTTAAAATAGGGAGGTATTTTCGAGTGAACTGATTTATGATGAAGAATATTGCCCAAGTTGATGGCATCGATACCTTTGTTGACAAAGGAAAGTGTAAGAAAGGATCTGTTTTCCATATGTATAGGTATGACAAATGATAGGTACAGACTGATCTTTAAAGATAGGGAGGTATTTTTGATTGCACTGATTTATGATGAAGGATATTGCCCAAGTTGATGGCATCGATACCTTTGTTGGCAAAGAAAAGTTTAAGAAAGGATCTGTTTCCTTTTCATCTTTTCCAGTGCGAACTGGTTTGAAAAGTTAAGACTTGCAATATCCGAAATGATAGCTGTAAGTTTTTTATTGGTTTGAATGAGGGTTTGTAACAGTGGTTTCCAAAAATAAGTTGTACAGAGAATAACGTTATGAAAGGGGTAATGCATAAAGCTTCGTGCGAATGTGATGATTACCTAACGGTTTTTGTAATGGCAGGAGGTCATTAATAGAGATATCATGGAGTGTAGGTGATGTAAAATGACGATTACCATGACTGCGTCTACGTCGAGGAGTATAGCTGAAAATGTTTGTATCGTCTACTATTTTGAAAACTGTTGTATATTGGAAAAATCAGACGGTACAGAAAGGATGAGAATGTCAAAACTTACATACTGTCAGACGACCATCATAAGAGTTATAGATATTAAATAACGAATTGTTACGTTTTTTGCGATGATGGTTATTATCTGGAAAACTATAAAAGATAAAAAGAAACTGCACATAGCAAAATGATGAACAAGACAAGATCACAAATACGTTGAATTATTGAAATTTTCAGTTTACTCCCTACAAGAGTTACTGCTCTTCAATTACGATGTTATATATCTTTTATTTTTTTGAAACAATAGTTGATAGAAACAAACTGACATAAATGGATCAACAGGACGTAAATTCACAAATAAATCAGATTGTTGACATCGCCTTTCTATTCCTTATAGGATTTATTGTCATTGCATGACGTTTTTAACCCATTTTCGAGGTTTTAAGCGGAAACTATAGTGAATAAAACGGAATCAGTTTTAAAAAATATTTCAACCGGACAAAATCTACATATAATTCAGCATCGTCGAATCACAAGTCGACATTTTAACCAATATTTGTTGTTGTTTCCCCCATCCCTACCCCCCCCCCCCCCCCCCCCCCTCGGAAACTAGCAAAATGGCAAATCAATCAAGTTGTTGTTGTAATATGTGTGGCTGACTGTTGAAACTGTTGATCCAGTGTCAAGAAGACTCTTAACTGTTTTACCATGTAATATAACCTCAGTTTCTGTAGGGCTTCCAAATAATCCTGGTGGTACTTGTGTTGTGGGACCTGTCGTAGTTGACTCACATAAGCCTAATGGTGGTCCTGACCCATAGACTTCTTGTAGTTTAAATTCTTCTTTCCATCTAGTATTGCTGTACAACCAATCTTATAGTGTCCTGGTAATCCACATCTAAAGCATTTCTTTTCTTCCTTGTGTTGATAATCAGAAGGAGCTTGTGGAGTAGATGACTCATGATATCCCTGTTGCTGTCCTTGTCCTCCTCCTCTGTTGTACTGTCCTTGGTTTCTGTTGAAATATCCTCTATTGTTCCTATAACCTCGACCTCTACCTGATCCTCTTCCTCTAAAATCTGTTTCCCATCTATCCATCCTGGTAGTAAGTTGATTAATCAATCCTCTAAATTCATTCATCTGTGATTCCTGCATTGTGGTATCAGAAATTGCAGTTGCTTTGTCTGGTTGTGGCTTATGAGCTGATAACTTCCTCTCCTCATGATCTGTTTCTATCTGTCTAAGTACAACTCTGAGCTCATCAAAATCCTTTATCGTGTCAAACTTGTGGCCTGATATATCCTTTAATTCTGTCTTCAAACCAGTCCATAGCATAGAATGTAGCATGCCATTTCTTTCTTTTTGTTGTACTAATCCTCTATCTACTGCTCGACCAATGATGTTTTCCAATCTACAACTCCATTTAGTAACTGTCTCAGTATCATCTTGTCTGGCTCGGTAAAATTGAGCAAGTAAATCTTCCTTTTTCTCCACAGCTCCATATATACTGTCAAGCTTGTGCAAGATATCTGGTATGCTGGCTTTTGCTCCAAGGTGCATGGCAACCATTCCTGCATCTCCTTTCAGTGATCGTCTAACAGCATAATTGACGTTCTCTTGGTCGTACAATTTATCAGCCATCAACCCAGTAACTTCATATCTCCAAAGTTCATAGCTGGTTTCACCTTTGGTGTTGTTTCCAGAGAAGTTGGATATCCTGGGTGGATCTCTGTACTTTGTATGTTTGGATGGTTCATCTTTCACTTTAGCTTTAGCCTCCTCACCTTTTGCAGCCAAACATTTCATCATCCATTCTTTGATATCTTCTGGGTGTTCTCCCACCTCTTTCTTCAATAATTTCAACAGAGCAATATCTTCAGGTGCAATTGCTTCTGGTTCCGCCATGTTGATATGTGTTTCACTTATAAGTGATTTATAAATAAAAATATAGA